AAGTAGGCAGAATCAGAGTGTTTGTCCTTCTGTGACTAGCTTATTTCATGTAGCATAATGTGCCAAACAGAACTATTTTTGTGATGAATAACTCCTCAAGTCATGACTTGCCCTCGCTGTTGATAAAAAACCATCTACACTGGAGGTGTGGGTCAGCGGAAGAAATGTGACTGGGGTGCAGGGAATGGAAATGCTACACAGTATGGTCTGGAAAGATCTCACTGGTAAAATTACTTGAGATTTGGAGAATGAGAGAAAAAAAAAAAAGTTCAAAATGTGCTGTGAGCACAGTTAAAGGGCCCAGGCCAGAAAGAGGCAGTAAGACAGATGAATCACCATCGCGCCAGTGGATGGAGTGGCTGGAGAGAGGGTGCTAAAATGTGGGTGGCATTAGATTAGTGCAGGTAGGTGCATGGCATCAGATCCCATAGAACCTCAAAGACCATGGGACGATTTGTTTTCTGACTAAAGCTGGAATGATACTCATTCACCCTTTATAGCTCCAGAGAAGTAGAGCACTTCATCCTAATAGTAAATAAGAACAGTGTCCAAGGGCCCGCCCTGCTGGGCGCAGCATTTAGCAGTGTTGCCTGTCCTCCGTTTCATAGGTGAGGTGGCTAAGCCTCAAGACCTGCTTCTCCCTGTCTGGCTTCAGCAAAGATGGCAGATACGTTCCTTTGTTCCCAGACATTTAGACCAAAATAATAGGAGTGGATGGAAAAAAGTGTTGGAAAGCAGAGCCACAGGTACCATAGCAGGAATGGCTGTGTCCTGTAAAACAGCTTCAGGCTATAAGTCCGTCACCCCTGCCACTTCTGCACACCCCAACCCAGCCTTGGTCACTGTATGCTTCTCCCAGATGAAGCTGGAATCGCCCTGCAGTGGGAGTCACCCCCAGCCCCAGGTGAGGACAGCATCTATGCATTCTGATGGCCCTCTGGTGCCAGGCAGACCCAGTGCTGAGCTGTGGGTGTCGTGCCTTGCGTGAGGCCTGTAGATGCCCATGTTATAAGCCGCATGGACCAAACTCAGCTTGCTATTCTGAGACCCCAGGCTGAACTGAAAGACCCATTCCACTTAATAGCATTGTGGACACGGTGACTTGGAACCCCTTGCAGTGAGGGTCGMAGTAGGGTGCAGGTGCCAGGAGAACCCGGAACCCCCCAGCAGCCTCATGTCCATGTGACTTTGCCTTTCGGGGATCCTTGGCTTCTTTCTTCACCATCATATTTGACCTCTGGAAACTACCTAACTCTCTAGCTCTCCTCTCATGCAGACCCTCTCCTTCAGCTATACTTGGCTTAAGAAAGCGCCAGTCCTCTCATCTGGCCATTTGGCTGCCTGCCCCACCCTTTGGCGTTGGCACTCAGCGTCCCTTCTATTTCATTACACTCTGATCCTCCTTCACTCCAGCTAATCCATCGTGACATTCAGTAGTGGGTGTGGAGGTGGCTGCCTCTGGGAAGCGGGTAATACCAGGAACCTGAAGTTGTCCCCAGTGCAGACTTAAGACATTCTATTAAAATTGCCTAGGTATTTCTTGGTACTGGACTGCCCAAAGCAGGGATTCTGTCTTGTTGAGTCTTTTATTCTGCGAATAACACAGCACCTAGTGCACTCAAATAACACAGTACCTAGTGCACTCCAGGCAAAAATGAATGAACGAGCCCTAAATCAAGATATCRGATCTCCTCAAAGCCATGTGTAGATGGTGGACACTTGTTAAATGTCTATCTTGTATCAGATTTTAGAGAAGATAATACTTAAAAAATTTAACAATGGGAGAAAATGGAAGCTTCTTATCTTCTGAATTGAGTCCCTGTAGTGCACTATAACTCAACATTAAATGATAAGTCTTTTGATGCAATTTATATCATCACTATTTTTAAATCATTCTCACATTTCTGCTAGCTTGCTTCAGTTCCCTTTCTGTGTTGATTTCTCTGACCTCTCTTTTGTCGGGAATAAAAATGAATTTTTTGGTTGTTGTTGCTGGTATTGGGTAGTCATAGCGATTCACTCGAATTTCTCACATTCTTAGGGATGACATTAAGAAACTAAAGTCATTTCTTTCCTTACTGGACCCAACCAATGGTAGAATTTCGATAAGGGGAAGCACGATTTGGGCTTTGGGAAACCAACAGCGAAGTTGAATTTGAGTGTCATTTCCATCGCGGGTTGCATAGAAGTTCCTCCTGAGGGCTTCTTTAGTGAGGGTGCCAGAAAATGGATACTTTTACTAATAGTTTCTAATTTTAAATAGAAATATAAAATAATAATAATAGATGTTATGAGTTAAGAAAAAGGGAATGCATTTTGCTCTGAATGCTAGTAGTTTCTCATTTGGAATCCTCTGAATGTTTCTAAATTTCTCCTCATGATATTTTACATAATAGAATAAATTGTCAGAACCAGTATTTAAGCTGGTTCCATCTTAATATTGGAGTATTTAAATGAATGTTGCTAATCATTTTGGAAGTTCATTCAGAAATAATTTGAGCATGTCTATTGCTTGTTTCTTGAGAAAGAAATTTACTGTATTACTGCTCACCTATCACAAATCATTTMAGCTTCATGACATGCTTTAATCTGCAATTTAATTTTTAAATGTAAATCATTTGGGCTTCTGTATAAAAAGCAACTAAAAAATTCCCATTTCATTTTTGGGCAGGGCTCCAACTTATAAAAGTATTGAAGTGCTGCAGAACGTAAATCCACTTAGTTGGACTAATAAGTTCATAAAATTGTGCCATACTTCATTATAATCTCTTTGCCAGAGTAGAAAATCCTTCTGGCTTATAAATTCCAGCTGTTTTTAATTTTTTAGTTTGATTTGGATTTTAAAGTTYATGGACCTAAGTGCTGCTGAGAATTTTAATTATGACATTTTTAGCAGGAAGAGACCTTAAAGGAAATTGAAACATTATTTCAACTGTTAAGAGTATCTAAGTGGTATAAATAGGTTGAGAGGTACCCCCATGTTGACTTTTTTCTTATTCAGAAGTGTAGGCTCTATTTTGTTGATGTTTTACAGTGATGATGAATTGGGACAGTGATTCTTAAATTTTCTCATTGGAAATATATCATCCTTAGAGTGGAATTTTCTCCCCCAGATTTGTGATTGGTTGTCATTATTGTCATAATTATGGTCATACTCTCATTTGATATGTTAGTGCCTATTTTATTATATTCAGTATTTCTCCATAAAGTTTGTAGTTGAAGGATACTTACTATGGATGTAAAGATGAGGATACTAATGGTACACAGGTAAAAAAATTATYACATCTCCAGGGGTGGGATTGTAAAGGAGATTACTCTCAGCTTTTCTCTTACTGGTGGCTAAAGCTTTGCAAAAGTAGGAATTTGAGAATAACTATTGAGGAATTAATTCTGGTTCCTGARGAGTTGAAATTTATAGCAACATCYCATTAATTATAAATGGTTTTGCATTGATTTGCTTGTAACTACAGGCACTTGTGTTGAACTTTGCCTGGGGTAGTTTTAGTTTACACCTGATGTGCTGGTACAGTTTTGGTCAAGTTTGTTTGTTGGTTTGTTTTTTGCTGTGCTGGGTATCAAACTCAGAACCTAACACATGCTGGGCAAGCACACTACCACCAAGCTACAYCCCCAGCTCTTTGGTGCATTTGTTTTTTTAATAGCACCTCCTGTCACACTCAAAAAATAGCTTCTGTAGTTTCTCTATGACAAATTATCAAACATGACCACAAGTGTCCATCTCTGTACACTTTCCTAAAATCTTTTAGTTCCCTCAATGCTCAAAACAGTGAAATACAAGCATCACTCCTGATTTTAAAGTCATATATATTATGGTATTCCTAAATCTTCAAACCATCATTTCCTGAGCCTTTTTTTTTTTAAATAAAGGGAGATCAACTGCTAAGTTGTATTGAAATGGTGTGTGTCTAGATGAAGTATTCCGATGTTATCTCTTCACTCATATGGAAAAAATATAAGATTTCATTAGAAAAATGAACTGTTGAGAAAGAAAGTTCAAATTTAGAAACTTGAAAATGAATGTGCAAATGCCKACTCCTTGCGCAGACGCTGAAGTAACAGAACAATGTCTGTGGGCACAAATACCAGAAGTCATTGCAAAGTGGACGCTCACTTTATGCCAACTCTGCAAAGCTTCCTTAGAACATCTGTTGGGGCTACAACATAATCCCTTTACCTACAGGTAATTGTTTTCAGGCCTATTTTACTGTATTCATTTTTTTCTATCCCTTTAGAAATGGGAAAAATACATTATAATTCTGCTAACCCCTAGGGGAGCTGGGTTGGGGATCAGGGTCCTCCTTGGGGCTGCCCTAGTTTAGCCCTAGAAACACAGAGGGGTTGAGTCACAACTTCCTCCCATTTGCCCACTGCTGCTGCTGGTGGCCATCTGCTAGCTGAGCAGTTACATGGAAAAGAGAAAAGCTGTATAGTACTCCTCATAGCTTGGCATGGAAGGAAAATGTCAGTAAAGATGGACGGGCGGAGAAGGGGGGCAGCTTAGTCACAAAATCTGGTTGCTGACTGGTGTTTTAGGATTTCTGCTCTTSCAGGAGAGGAAAAATAGGCATGGTTTTTAGGCATGGCAAAACTGTCATGCTGACCATTGTTTAAATGTTTGTTTCACAACACCAAAAATTTAAAATATTGCCACCCCAACAAAAGCAAAAACATCCTCTAAGTTTAAAATTAAATYGTTGTAATTAATGGTTGTAAGACTGTATAAATCTACTAAAAATTTAGTCTATGAACTGTACACAGATAGTGGATGCATTATATAGATGCAAATTATACTGCAATAAAGTAGTTATGAGTTAAAAAAAATGCCAGATTTCAGAGCAGTTGTATTATGTTATTAGGACTTTCTAAAATTCCACTGAGCCATTCTGTTAATTCTTACATTTAGCAAAATGTATTTTAATTTTATCATGGAAAATTTTTAAAACAGTATGATGAACTCTCACGTYGCCATCTTTCAGCATCTCCAGTAACCAGCATATTTTCTTTGGTGCTCCATTGGATTATTTGAAAACGTGTCGCAGATATCCATAAATCTTCAATATGTACCTTTAAGAGASAGGGCTGTTAGAAAAGTATAATTGTCACTTTAAAAATACAAGTTATCACTTAAAGAATAATCCTTGAAATCATTGAAAATTCCCTTAATATCATCTTGTAATTGGCTTTATATGACTATTCAAATCAGGAACGAGGCAAACTTCACAAATCTTAGCGTCTAAATGGCATATAACTAAGAAGTTAGTGGGTAATTATAAATGTGATTTATCAGCCATAYCAAAGCTCTTATAAATATTTTCATAATATAATAGCATAAAATATTGGATATAGTTTAGTGCATGTACCCTGGGAAAATATTMATATTTAGCAGATCTTCCTTGTTTAAGTTTTAAAATCCCCTGATCACATGTCACCTTCCTACTGTTTAGCATAGAAAAAACTGAGTATATTGGTACAACATATTCAGTAGTCAGAAAGCTTCATGCTGGAACTCTTAACTGTATAGGACAGAAACCAAACTTGCACATGGAAATTGTTTTAGGGAGATTGCTTGTGAGTGACAGTCAACCCCATCACTATTCAGGAATATGGGCCATTTATTTCAAATTAAGGATGTATTTCAAAATAGGGATGTTATTTTATCCTTACAACGAACACACCAGAATTTGTCAGTAGTTGTGGGAAATTTGTTTTCCAGGACAAAAGACCTAAGTTTAGCAAGTTTTAATTACTCGTGCAAAATCATTGTTAGGTTTGTTTTTTATTGGACCTAGAATCTGGGTCCTTATTTGCATTTGACAATTATGTCTCTCTTAGAAAATGGTTCTTCCACTCATCAATTTAGAGCACTGCACTTCTAACGGAATACTATTTGAGATGATTAATTTTTTGTAGAATTGGAATACTCACCACTGGGTGAAAATTACCTTAGTAAAAAGGACTAAAACACTCTTTCAATGGTACTAAGAATAAAAATCAGCTTTGTCTGCTCTTGGGCCCTTGTGACCATCGTGCACATCTGAGACTTCATTTTGAGTTCATGTTACAAGAGCTTATTTTCATGATCAATATTCGCTGAGCATTTCTTTTTCATTCTTTAGCTGATGCTACACTGTAATGCAATACTAGGAAACCACATGGTCTGTTGGATTGAGAACTAAGACTTAAAGTATAATTATATTCTCCCATTTTTCATGTGGAACTTGAGCTTGCTCTCATTTCATCTCACTGCATGATTATAACTGAGTATGCAAGCTTAAGCCCAGGAAGAATTCATTTAGAGCCAAGGCAGGGACATTGAATTAAGCAKGATATTCTATAATTTAGGATGCTTTGGTTGTACAGTTAATTAATTTTTWAAAAATACAACACAAACTGACTTCAATGACACAAAATATGACTGGCTCACATCATAGCAAATCCAGAGAGAGACAAGGGTCTAGGTTGTCTAATACAGGAGAAAAGCCATGTGAAGATTCAAGTTCTTTTCACCTCTGTTCTCCCCTCTAACGGGCTGTTTTATCCTGAGGCCGGCCTCCAGGATTAGACCCATGTGCTTTCTTATTATATACTGGAAGAGAGAAACAATTCTGTCACTAAAAAAATAAATAATAATAATAATAGAGGTTTGTTTTCCCAGAGTTCCTAACAAACCCTTAGACTTACATGGCCACTTATGAACAGTAATTGACAAATGGATTTATTGCCCTAGAGAATGAAGCATTTCCCTAAAGCACATAAGCTGAACAGGATGGGGTGGAAGGAGATAAATGTGAGTTCTCTGGGGAAGGAAGGAAGGCGGAAACAGTTGGCAGGTCAGCTACAATAATGTCCACGACAATGTCTCTTTAATTACAAAGCAGCGTATGCAAAAGTATATTTTTTTTCCAACTTTTTGAGTTGGCATCTTTGACTGAAGAACACCCTGGAGATTTCATGTTGGTGTCTTTGGGCTTTGCTGTAGCAGGTATTAGAACTGGGTGATCTGGATGTCCTAGAAGCATGTGTGGCCTGCGGTAACATGTATCTATGGACTGAGGATGGCAATAGCCTAACCATGTTTCAGCCTTTATGCTAGGAAAACCACAGACCAGATACAATTTGTTTCTTTAGAATCTGCATCTGGGAATTTCCGGTCTTAGAACTGACCACATGTGGTGGACTATGATCTCACTTGCTTTGATTGACTTTCAACAGAAAACTACAAGATGGCTTCTCTGTCTACACCTAGCTTCTTTGTCAGTAACCTTCATGGAGCCTGGGCAAGATGTCTCTCTTGATCCTCGGCTCTTTACCATCATTGTTAACCTCCTTTATGCCTCACAACTCTTTCATTGGCATCATGCAGATKTGGATGATGCCCTGGTCTTTGTCTCCTGCCAACAGTCTGACTGCAGCAAAAATATACTTTCTGATTCTTTGAACACTGCGATTGTATAGGCAGGAGTATAAGGTTACCTGAATGGTCTTCTCTTGCTTTACATATTCAAGACACTTTGAAAAGTAGATATTTGAATTTTAGTAGTTCTGAATTTTTAAAAATTACTTTCTACTTTACTGTCTTTTCAAAATTTGGATGCATGAATAATTGGGCTTTCTAAAACTTTTAAACTCTTTTTCATCAAGAAGTCATTAAGAAAACACAAAGGAAAGTCACAGACTAAAGAAAATAATTTACAGTATACATCTGACAATCTCATCACTAAGGCCTGTGGAATTTAATAGTAGTTGATCATAACTGGGTGATTATATTGTGGTCATATAAGATATTAACATTTGGAGAAGCTGAGTGAAGGATATACAGGAACTCTTCATGGACTTTTTTTTTGCAAATTTAAAAAGTTTCACTTAATCTTGATATACCTTTAAGAACTTTTTTGTTAGTCTGAAATTATTTCAAAATTTAAAGTTAAAAATATTAGCAAAAGAAAGAAACACTTAACTGAAGATACTGGTTGATATGCCCATGCAAACACAGTGTCATCATCAGTAGTGGGAGAGATACAAGCTACAAATGAAAACCTCAATAAGATACTGCTTAACACCCACAAAATTAATGATAAAGGTAGACGGCATCAAATATCAGAAAAGATAAGGGGTTGTCAGAACTCTCATGCTTTCCTGGTGGGAATGTAAGATGACMCAGCCACTTGGCAGACGGTTTGTCATCTTCCCCTGAAATTCGTACCCACAYACACACTCCTAGGCCTACCTAGGAGTATACCTAGTACATGCCCCGTGACCCAGGAATTCTACTCCCAGGTATTTATCAAAGATGAAAACACATGTTCACACAAATCTAAGCTGTGAATGTTCATAGCAACCTTTATTGATAGTACAGGTCATCTGAATACTAATATACAGACAGTTCCTGACTTACTGTTTTGTTTTTAACTTTATGGTGGTGCAAACACAATGTGCATCCAGCAAAAGTGCTACTTTGAATTTTGAGTATCGCTCTTTTCCTGGGCTGGGTGGCATGGGCACCGATGCCTCCCTCTCTTAGGATGCTGGGCGGCAGTGGTGAGCCACAGCTCCTAGTTATCCACTCAGTCACAGGGAAGCCACTAGTACTGTTCAGCATGCTGTGTTGCCATTTAACAAATGACACAAGATATTCAGCGCTTGATTATAAAATACTTGATGTGAGATGGTTTTGCCCAGCTGAGGCTGGCATAAGTGACCTGAGYGTGTGTTAGTTTGGCTAGGCTAAGCTAGGAGATTTGGTAGGTTAGGTATGTCAGTGTAGTTTCAACTGGTGATATTTTCAGTGTATGGTGGGTTTGCTGGGACATATGTTATTGTAAGTCATAGAGTACCTACAATGCARTACTCCTCAGTAATGAAAAAATGAAGATAGATACAACAACATGGATAAATTTTAAGAACTTTATGTTGAGTGAAGAAAGTCAGACATAGAAAMGTGTATCTGCACAGTTCCATGTATAGAAAGTTCAAGAAAAGGCCAGACCCAGACTATGGTAATTGAGACTAGAGTAGCACTTGTCACTGGGCATGGTGGGTGGCGCATGCCTGTAATCCCAGCACCCCAAGAGGCAGGAGAATCACAAGTTCAAAGCCAGGCTCAGCAATTTAGTGAGCCCCTAAGCAACCAAATGAGACCCTGTCTCAAAATAGAAAAATTAAGAAGGAACTGGGGGTGTGACTCCATGGTTAAGTGTCCCTGGGTTCAATTCCTGGTACCCAAAAAAAAAAAAAAAAAAAAGAGTAGTGGTTGTCCTGGGGAGTATACTCTGGTGATGGAGACTTTTTGTATTCTTCCTCACTCAAGGGACATAGATATTTATCCAAATGGAATTACACAGTAAGGTTTATTTTAGTTAAATCAAAGGCCCAGAATAGAGCAGAATGACTGGTATTGAATAAGTTCTTACTAACATTTTTAAGTGTTAATGTTCATATATGCAGAGCTATTCTGGTATAGAATATCTAAAGAAATGTTACTATGTATTATTKTCTACATATTATTACTATTTTATATTATGGATTATAGAGATTTAAAAATATCTGCTCTTAAGATAATTTCTGTATTAAGCTAGGATATTTATTAGAAGGTACTTATCAAAAGAGGAAAAATTACCCAATTAGGAATACAGCTGAATGCCAGGTGTTTGAGTTCAGTTTAAGTAAGTGTATAGGATTATAATCTTTGAGGTGTATCTGCTGTTAAGGACCTTGCCGTTCATTTCATTTTCTTTCTTTCATTTTTTTTTTCTTGTTGTTTTGGGGAGAGTGCTTTTGCTCATAAAAATATATATATATATATATATTTTTTTTTCCTGTGCTGTTTTAGTGACATTTTTCTGGAACTCAGTAAATTTGTTACCAGTATACAAATGATATTGAAATTTTCTTTTCAAAAGAGCTCTAATCATTTCAAAATTAGTCAAGTTTTAATATTCGCAAATTGTATGTAATTCATTAGGAGACGAGGGGAATGAATATTTTCTAAATGAGTATTTGTGTCAGTTTCAGTAGAGAAATTAAACTCCTACAGAATTCATAACATTGTGATGTATATACTTTTA